AGTCCCATCTTCCTTCCGAGGAGTGGCTGGTGGGTTTGAACCGCCAGCCTTCTGGTTAGCAGTCAAGTGCCTTAGCCACTATGCTACCAGAGCTCCAAAAATGCCAAACAGATTTTGCCTTGCTCACTTCTTTATCTTCAGCATTTAAAAGAGTGTCTGGATCTGCAAAACACGGCATAATGTGGATGAACTTGGAGGACGTTATGCTGAGTAAAATAAGTCAATCACAAATATTATATTAGTCTGCTATTGTAAAAAGTTAAGGAAAGGTTTATACATAAAAGGAAACTTTGTTGGTTACCAGGGATGGGAGGGGAGGGGAGGAAAATTTCTCAATAGGTTGAGAAAAAAAGATATGGATACCAAAGATTATTAGTGATTACCAGGGCTAGAAAGGAGGGGGAAGGGGTAAGCTTTTTTTTGGGTGGCATTGAGTTTATGCTAATAGGTGGTGGAATATTTTGGAAAAGGACAGCAATAATGGTGGCATGAGATGAAAAATGTAATCAATGTCCCTGAGCTGTAAATGTGGAAGTTGTTATGTTGGCAAATGTTTTGTTGTATGTTTTCACCACAATAAAAGTAAAAAAAAAAAAAAGAAGAAGAAGAAGAAGAGTGTCTGGAACATAATAAGCACTCAATAAATACTTATTGAGTGCAAGAACCAAAGAATCACTGTTGAGCTCACCTTCAGATTTTCTTTGCTGCCTCTTTAGAAAGTGAGCAGCATCTTCACTGGTTACAAACTTGGAGATGTTCGGTTCTAAGCAAGGTCTTGGCAACAAAAAATCCAAGTTGACATCACTGAGCTCTTTGGAACTTTCTTCTTTCTCCAGGAGGAAGGGCTGCATGGCCAGTGTCTTTGTCCTCAGGTCTACCATCTCAATTTCATTTGGGAGAGAAACAGAATGTGCTGTTGTCCATTCTTGATGCACTGAAGTTGCCTGACTAAAAGGAGGAAAAGAGTTTGATTTAAAAATCATCCCTCTCTTTCTGGGTCTCCAGTTCTCAGTACAACCTGATGGTACTAGCAAGTTTGAAGAACAATTTCCAAGTGGCACTGCTGAATGAATGACTGGATTTCTGAGACAACAATACCTCTCCACCCTCCTGGTTACTCTTCACCCTTAACTGCCCTCTGCTGCTCCCAGTACAGTTGCATGAATGGATAGGCCTAGGTACACTTTAGGTCCATTTCCTTGAGCAGAGAAATCAGAGGTGCAAAGAGAAGGCACAGGAAGGTACCTTTTACTTCTCCAAAGGTACTGGCTAGTGCCTCTCACACTATCTCTGATGAAAAAACAGTTTTCAAATGCCCCAATTCATTTTGTAAAATATAATAAACATGAATTATTATAAAAATGAAACATGGGACAAAAATATGCAAAAAAAAAAAAAAACCCAACTTTTATTATCAGGTCAATGAACAAAATTATTTTATGAAATGGTCAAATTTGTCAAAACTTCTAAGTGATTACCCTCAAGTTCTGAAGTGATCTCATCATGGACTGGTACCAGAATGACCACAGAACCACATTTTGAGTAGCACTGCTCTAGAACATACCTTGGCAAACTATGGCCCCCTGGCCAAATTTGGTCTGTCTGGTTTTGAAGATAAAATTTTATTGGACCACAATTTCACTCATTAGTTTACATAATGTCCATGCCTGTGCTTGTGTTACAACGGTAAAGTTGAGTCATTGCAACAGAGATCTTATAGCCCACAAAGCCTAAAACAGTTACTGTCTGCCTTCTGCCACAGTAAGATTAATTGTGACATCTGCTCTTGAGCATTATTTTGGGCTGAATTCAATTAAAAAGGTACGTTGCCATATAAGTATCATCACTGACACTTAAATTTCAAAGAATATTCCTTACTTGTTTTCTGTTGAATCTTCATGGCTCTTTTCTTGGGGATGACTGACATCTCTTGGAAAAGTAACAATAATATCAACACCTGCAGAAGCACATGACAACAGTAGAAGGAAGAAGAAAGCAATGAAGTTGATGATAATAAGGAAAAGTATTTTGTTTTTGGTTATTTGGCTAATCTGTTCTTAATTATTATAGAATGGACATTAACCAGGGACTGCAGTTCTAGAAATCTTTGTACATTTCCTATCCAGCATATACATTAATAAATAAATTTTGTTTAAAGAGCAAGTAATCCGTACAAAATCTTTTCAGATTTAAGTTAAAATCTTAAGATGAGCAGTATTTTCTTCTGAAGGAGAAGACACAGCCTCATTCTGTAAGGAGGTATTGATGACAACTACTTCACAGGACTGTTTGAGGACTAAATGAGATAATTTATATAGTCTGTGGGAATTTCTTTATAACTGACATTTTGATCATCTCCTGTTTGATTCTATGGAATGATTCCCAATATAGCCCTTAAGACAGAAAGTTCCAGCTTACAGAATTGAAGTTTGTTTTGCTTACCATGTAACACATTAAACACATTTATTGAAAACACTCTGAACCATCTTAGGATCTCCTGTCTTTTGTTCATGCATTCATTTTTTTCCATTCAACAAACTTTTAAGTATATGCCAAGCCCAATGCTTTGTGTTGAAGAAGAAATAAAAAAGATGCAGCTGTGGCCCTAATGTTGTTGTTGTGAGTTGCTGTCGTCTCTGACTCATAGTGACCCTATGCACAGCAGGACAAAACACTGCCCTGTCCTGAGCCAGCTCCACGATCCTTGCTATATATACTTGAGCCCATCACCACAGCCACTGTGTCAATCCATCTCATTAAAGGCCTTCCCCTCTTTCATCGACCCTCTACCTTATCAAGCATGACATCCTTCTCCAGGGAATGGTCTCTTCTGACAACATGACCAAAGTAGGTGAGATGAAGTCTGGCCATTCTCACTTCCAAGGAGCATTC